CCCAAGCCAGTAGCATCAGGTAATCATGCAGGCCAACCTTTCGCACGACGAAAATCCGCGACACGAACCGCAGAGCTACAAAGACAGTCGCGAGGGCGAAGAATATGATTGAGACCACCAGTACCTCTGGTCTGCGATCCGCCATATTGGACGAACCCGCATAGACCCCGGACCACAGACCAACCACGAAGGCTTTAGACCCGCTCAGAAGCGATTTATAGAATTAAGCTCCCAGACGGAGGATATGTACTCGAGACTCGACTGCAAAACGACCCCATTGTCACCGAATCGCAAGTTCGGAGGGGGGAAAGTGGGACGACTGGCCAACAGTTGAAGGAAGCCGAAGACGGCGGAGAAGAGCGTATAACTTGGTAACTTGGTCGCGGGTCCAAAGGAAGGGCAGAGAAGCAGATGGTGAAGAAGATGTCGAGGAAAGACTGGAAAAGAGGAATTGAACAGGGTTGGAATGAGGGATAGATAAAATACGAAGAGATTGGAAGATCGAGGGCTTGAGGAAGAATAGATAGAGAATAGAAGAAGGGAATGACAGTGGAGAAAAGATTCCGGGGATGTGAGGGGGAAATGGAATAAGAGGAAAAGTTGGGAGCGGAGAAGTTAGTAACCACCAACTTTATTTGTGTGGCTCGCGTGGGCCAACAGAACCATAGGAATGAGGGATAAGAGATGTGTGATTGATGCTATTGATGATATTCTCGAGGTAAATAGGGGTTGTTTTCTTTTTGCGAAGAGAGGACATTGGATTCTTGACATTTACCCGACTGACTAGGAACAGCACCAATATTTCTGGGCATGCAGGGAAGAAAAAACATGGAAGGGCGATCATCGGAATGTGAGCCGCAGACGGAATATCATTTATCATGTATCATGTATCATTTATCATCAGAGTTACTTGATGAGAGTACTTTTGTTCATAGAGTTCTCTGTAAACTGATCATGTTACCATAATGATATTGTGTGAGGTCTGAGTGCGTCCATTGTCATCCATCAAAGTAAATGCTCGTCCCACCGACGTAATCATAAGCCATGTCTCAAATCCTGCAACCTTCCAAGGCTTCATCTCCAACAATTTTTCACCAATTGCAGACGATCCTGAACTAGTCTACCACAGTTATTGTTCGCTGTCAATATCTCGTGTGGCCTTTTTTTCCATCCATGGCGCCGTTGAAGTTTTGACTTCCTGAGTGTCCTGGAACCAACGCCTCCCTCATCTTGACTCGTCCATCACCACAGGAAACCAAGAAATCCGTCCATCAATCAGACTCGAGGTCTCGCAGAGAAAGCTTTAATCTTCCTGTTCCAGGGGAAGATCATCGTTCCCCTCTTCCGTCAATTCGGACCATCCAGTTGGATCTGCTGCGCTTCGAAACAGTCTCCCTTGCAGATTATTGGGTGATCTCTGGGAACTCAGGGATAGAAGCAACAATTGCAAGACCAGATGAACGTTGACATTCGAGTATATGTCCATCATCAAGGATATGGATCGGTTTCCATTGAGTAGGGGAGTTCTTCTTGATGCCTGAAACACCAGGTTGGGTAATCTTCAAGACTCAGGGGCCAGTTCGAGTCGATTTTATTGTTCAGTGATCTGATTTGATCAATATCATCTGATATCGCTCTCATCAACAATTATGTGTGTCTCATTAGACAAATGCCTCTCGTCTCGTCTGTTGATGGAGGACATTTTCTCGAAAGACCGCATATCGATCGCCTGGACGATACGTTCACTTCCATCACCCCTCAACGACCAGGTAATTCTCCTCTTCTTCACATCAAATATCGCAAGTCAAGATCAATCATCTGGTTACTGTTAGTCATAATCTGCGATGAAGATGCAGAGATACTCGCTTAACCTCGAGATGCGACTCTTAAAGTGGAGACTCTCTCTTTCCCCCGCCTGTTGTTTCCATCACATGGCTGCTCCGCTGCTATCAATCTCGAGTTTTCAGCTCAATCGACTCTCTACCTCCGAGGGAACCAAGCCTTATCAATGTAACCTTTGCGCTCTTTACAGCTATGATCTGTGCCGGATTCCGTCGGTCTGCAGATTCTGTGAACTTTCTGCAGAAACGCTGCTTAACGGGACTCCACCTGGATTGACATCCATCTATAAGATCATGGACTGCTCAGCTCAAGACTCTCGCAGGCAACCTCGCCTTGGATACTCGGGCTAACTTGCTAGGACAGTGTGGATCAGAATGAGATTGAACACTGTTGTTGCTGCTCTCGCCTTACTGGCTGCCATTCAAGGCGCCTCTGGGGATAACTGGGTTAACACGATTTGGGACGAAATCAAAGAGACAATCACCTGTGCTGGCTGCGAGGTTCGTTCTCAAACACACACAAAAAAAAAAAAAAATCTCGAAATTCAGAATATTGATTGATCTGTGACAGGGACTTTTGGGAACTCTCAAGCTGGTCGCTGGTCTCGGACAGGATGTCTTGATCAATGTCCTGACCGACGTGTGCAAGCTGGCCAAGGTATGTCATTGTCAGCCATAGCAGTTGAGCCTTTAACGCACAAGATCCTGACTGCTCTGTCAGGTGGAGGACCCCGACGTCTGCGCTGGTATCATCGAAGCCGAAGGCCCCGCCGCATATTACGTCCTTAAGCAACTCAAAGTGGGCTCGCATACCTCGAAGTCGTTCTGTTCGCAGGTGGTCGGCCTCTGCGACTATCCTGGGGTTCGGCCGTACAACATCTCCTTTCCCGCCCCCAAACCTTCGACGCATCGCGCTCCTCCGAGCGGCCAGCCTCCGATCCGGGTCGCGCATATCAGCGACACGCACGTGGATCGCGCCTACGAGACTGGTGCCAACTACGAATGCTCGAAGCCAATCTGCTGCCGTGCGTATACCGAGAATGACGCCCCCGGAAACACCTTGTTTCCCTGTGGTCCGTACGGTCATCCCAAATGCGACCCGCCGCTTCGGCTCGAGGAGAGCATGATGGCCGCCATCGCCGCCATGGAGCCGGCCTTTTCCATTTACACCGGGGACGTGGTTCCCCATGATGTCTGGTCGGTGAACCGAAGCGAAGTCCTGCATGATCTCAATGCGACATACAGCCTCCTGGACCAACTGGGTCTTGTCTACGCCGCATTGGGCAACCACGACACCGCGCCCGTCAACCTCTTCCCCTCCGAGCGCATCCCCGTCTCCCACAACCCGCAATGGGCCTACGACACCCTCGCCGAGGACTGGACGAACCTAGTGGGCGGTCCGCTGTCCGCGCCTGTTGTGCACGCGACCGACCAGTTCGGGTCATACTCGGCCATCCACCCAGGAGGCAAGCTACGCATCATCTCCTATAACAGCGTCTTCTACTACACGTATAACTTCTACGCCTACCAGGAACCGATGGAGTACGATCCGAACGGGCAACTCGCCTGGCTCATCGCCGAGCTGCAGGCCGCTGAGACCGCGGGCCAGCGCGTCTGGCTCATCGCGCACATCCCCACGGGCGCCGCCGACACCCTCCGCGACTACTCGCACTACCTCGACCAGATCATCCAGCGGTACGATGCGACCATCGCCGCCTTGTTCTTCGGCCACACGCACACCGATCTCTTCCAGGTCTCCTACGCCGACCCGGCGCATCCAAGCTGGGACTCCGCCTCCGCCGTGGGGTACATCACTCCCTCGCTGACCCCGACCTCGGGACCCCCGGCCTTTCGCATCTACGACATCGACCCAGTAACCTTTGCCGTGCTGGACTACACTGTCTACACCGCCAACATCTCCACCTCCACCTCCACCTCCACATCCCCCGAGGCAACCCCCAAATGGACAAAGTACTACTCCGCCAAGGAAAGCTACGGCTCCCTCCTCACCCCACCCCTCACCGACCCAACCGCAGAACTCACCCCGGCCTTCTGGCACAATGTCACAGCCCTCATGGAAACCGACACCTCCGTCTTCCAGGCGTGGTGGGCGCGCACAACGCGCGGGTTCAACGTGCCTGACTGCAACGCGCAGTGCGCACGCGACCAGATCTGCTCGCTGCGGGCCGCAGATGCGCAGTACGGCTGTGTGCGCGGCACGCTGTCCATCACCAAGCGCGACGGCCTGGCCCCAGACGGTGTTGCCCCTGGCCCGCGGATGCATATGCAGTCGGCTCGGCCGCAGTGCGAGGAGGCCGGCCTGGCGAGGGTGTTGGCCGCCGTGATACGGGAGACGGATGACTTGCAGGGGCTGCTTTTGCAGCGGGCTGAGCTGTATATCTAATTGTTCCATTGTACGGGGTATTTACATAGAGCTTCGTGGAGGATTGGTATCTGCATACTCCGTACAGAGTACGAAGAAGGAGACGTAATCGTCCAGACTAGACGGGGTGATCATGCCCCTGATGATCAATACGAGAGTGGCTGTGAGTAAAGCCGACTAGTGAGACCAAGACCCTAGCCTCGCAAATCAAACCTAAAAGCTCAAGACTAAGAGCAGTTCGCAAAGATGTTGCCTAAACTCAGGAACAAACTTTTCTATCATTGTTCGTAAACGGTAACCCTAGTCCCTAATCTAAGAATAAACTGCCCGTTCGTTGGATATGATGATGGGCGGAATTTCCCGATTCTCGTCCAATCGTATCGCAACCCATTGCGCCTAGACCTCCCGTGTCTGTGTCTGTTTCCCGGTCCGTTGATCTGATCGTGGTCGTCGTAGAAAAAAATGAGAATAAAGGACTGCGGTCGCCATTCCGGGCTGGCCGGAAATGCAAGCGGCGCGTGCTTCGGTTTTGCTGGTTCCTCGCTTGTCTCATTGGAGCACGAAGAAGAAAAAAGATTTGGCTCTTGATGAAGATGACCAACGTCTATGAACATGAATATAAATCGATCCACGAGGCCAACGGGGCCCATAGATTCGTCTTGGTATAGAGGTTGAAAGAACGAGTGGAAGAAGATAAGTTTAAAACGAGGAAGAGAAAAAAAATGTCCGAAGTTCGAACACGCTACAGTCCTTTAATTCAAAAAGCGATCAACGCTTTAGTTGATGTACCACGACACGCCGTGGAGACGGCCCGCCCCCATATCGGCCAGCTCGCCGAAGAAGTGCCGGGACAGATCGATAGAGGTGTTGTCGCAACCCATGCACTTGTCCACGACGGTACCGGTCTTGGTGACACCGTTGTAGGTGACGGTCACAGTCTTGCCGCAGTCAGCGTCGGTCATGATGCCCACGGGAAGCGCGAGCACGTTCTCACTGAATCCGTCGTTGGTCAGACCGCAGCTGCTGGGGGCGCTGGCCGAGGTAGCAGTGTCGTAGTAGGTGACCTGGCCAACGCAGGGGGAGTCCTTGGAGCAGCTGCCGCTGTATCCACTGCTGGAGCTTGTATCAGTGCTGCTGCTGCTGCTGCTGCTGCTAGAGGCTTGCTGGGTGGGCTGGGCAGCCTGGGTAGTAGAAGTGGAAGGAGCCGCGGTGGTGACAGGTTGAGGAGCCTGAGTGGTCGAGGGCTCTTCGGGGGCGGGCTGAACAACAGCGGCGACAACAGGAGTGGATACAACGGTGGGAGCGGGCTGAGTGGGCTGAGACTCAGTAGTTTCGGACTGCGCAGGGGCCTCGGTTGGCTTGGGCTGCTCGGGAGCAGGGGCCGCGGTCGAGGTAGGCTCAGCACTGGCCACAGCGACAGTGGTAGTGGGAGCCGCAGCCTGCTGAGTAGGGTAGATGGTAGTGGTCACGTCAACGGTGGTCCAGACAACAGTGGTGACCGTTTCCCACACCACGACGTCTTCGCGCTTGTTCAGGTTGACAGGGGCGGCCGAGCTGATGGCAGCGAAAAGAGCGCTAGCGAGCGCAAGGGGCTTGAAGATGGGAGCCATTGCGAGTATGATATTGAAATCGAAGTGATTCGAATGCGAGTGTTCTTTGTAGAGAAGGTGGTTTGTCGGACTGATCGACAGTGTTTTCGATAGATCGACTGAGTGAAGGAAGGAATTGGGTTCGGTCAGATAGACAGAGACTGCGCAGCAGTTTGAGTATTGACTGAGAGGCTCCAAGAGAAGGCTGGAGATTGGAATGAAGGAACGACAGGAAGCTGTCAAAGGGAAGGACTGTGGTGGTAGGCGAAGGGGAGAAAGAGAGAGGGATACTGCGGCGGAGGGAGGAAAAAGGTATTTAAGAGAATCCGCCTGGGAATGGACTAGTCTCTATCTTCCACACATCGAGAGTCGAGACTCTAAACAAGTGTGAAACTAATCAGAATAGGGTAGGGCAGGCTCTCACCTACACTACGTACTAGCTGAAATTGAGTGGTAAGTGAAAATGAGGAATACACTCATTACCATTCAATACATCCATGGATATCGATTATTACTTGCGGGCCCAGTGGGCCAGTGGGCCAGTCAAAAATTCATGGATACTGGCCAGCGCGCGATGAACCCATGGGTCACAGCCTGTTTGCAATGTGTGGTGGGCTTGCTGGACCAATCAGACTGCTTGTTAGGGTTGCCTGGTCCCACCCACCAATCTCTCCCCAGTCCTGACTGTTGTATCTTTTGGTAAGTGGTTGGAGAGGTACTGGTTGGTATGACCATGAAATGGTTGCCAGCATTCTTGGGGTCGGGCCGTTTCCCAGCAATGGGTTTGCTCTGGTTTTGGTCATATGGGGAGAGCTTGCAACCTTGGGACATCAGCAAGATAGTCAGCGCACCGATGGTACCTGAGTCTGCCGACCAACGCATCGACCGGATAGTTTCTGATCTGTCAACGCTCACCAATACGATGCCAGAATGACGTGTGATTGGGGACAAAAAATTCAGGCTGAGCGGGTACCTGAATCGGAGGCGTCGGAAATTGAGACGGGCTGGCTGATTGGCTCAAGGGGACAGCGCCGGTGAGGCACCCCCTGCTTGGTGCTAACTCTCTTTAACTCTAAGCCTAATAAAGCTAGGAGTGGTGGCAGTACAATTTATGATTCGCTGATTGAAGCGAGTAATTTCTTTTGTTTGTCGCCTCTTTTTTCCGCTAACAGAGACCTTTGGTGCCTGAATCTGGATGTGCCTCAGCCTCAGCCACACTCATTTTCCACAATAATGAAACAAGAGAGGCTGTGTTTGACGTCTTTGTGTTCTGGAATAATGAATAAAATCTGTAACTTGCCTGAGGTTGGACGGGGCAAGAGACTAATCATCCGTACAATCAGAGTCGATCTTTCAAAAGAAGATGTCTCAATCCACCATCAGGGATCAGGGATATGCCAGTTCGAAGGCGACAACTCGTATGGGGCCACCCTCTGACTGTCTGACATGTGTTCTTGGGTGGTCGTTGCGCCAGACACTGTGCACGCCACCCAGGCACACCAGTCCAACACCGGCAGCCACTGACAACTGAGACAACCACCAAGAGCAACCATCATGATTTGCGGATGCAACCGCTGAACGGGTTCAAACTTGGCAGACTTCTCGTCATGCTTACTACATCTTTTCGACTGGTGCCCTGGCATTCATGATCTAGAGTCATGACTTGACAACAGAACTCTGCACAAATTCCCTCGGCGTTGCCAACTGTCCAATGAACTATCCAAACATCTGGCGGGACTGTCGGGCATTGACCGGGAACTGTCGACAGGTAGTAGTATTTCTGATGGTTAATAATGCTAATGGATCTCATAAGAGTTGAATCTCGGTCGATTTAATTAAGAGCTGCAGGGACGAGTGTCCAGACTTGACGCTAGACCGTCTAGATTTATCTTCCATCAACGGTCTGGAGGTCAAGGCTCTAGGCATAACAATTGCACAGACGGACAGATCCACAGGGCGAAGAGTTTTCTCTTTTCAAGGATAAGAGAGGATGGACAGATGTGGAGATTTGGTTCTTTGTTTTCCCTTTCTCTTTGATGAGGGGAACATGGAACATCATCACTGTCGGGATTTGTATGTGTCGTCTTCGTCAGAGGATACTCCTAAGATCAAGTATCCTCAGTGGCTATTGCACGATTGGATGCAGAACTTCATATTTCAAGGATCCCATCGTCGCTGACCCACTCCACTAATTGAGACTGAAAAGAGTGTGTCGTAGAATCAAAGAAACTCATTCCTATTCATCAAAGACGAATCACGACGACATACTGCATCAGAAACATAACCAGTCAGGATCTAAGTACAAGGGAACCCTTATTCCTCCAGACAAAACAGCATATGAAAAGTAACATGAAAAGTTGCCAGTATTGCCAGAGAAAAGCAAACATAAGAAAAGACCATCAAGCTCATAATATAAATACATCAGAAACTGTACCAAATAAAAGCGCCTCAAGCGCCTGCAATCAATTACCATAAACCAGCCCGACTAACCCTGGCACATCAGACAAGCCTCCTTGTTCTCAATGCTGCATTGGAGGACCTTTTGAGAGTAAATGTCGTTCTCCCGCTCGCCGCTCTCCCGCTCATCATCTTCCTCCTGGGAGCCGTTCACCACAGTTTCACCGTCTGCGGTAACATCGGTGGCAAGAGCCCGAGGGCTGCTGTTGTCGCTGTGACCATTGAGCGGAGCGCTCGATGTACGAGGAACAGCCGAGTATGTGGTGGAGACGGACCCAGTGGCTCTCTTCTTATAGGTAGGGTTGGCCCGAGCAACGTTGGTGTCGGCGACCTTGAGTTGCTCCTGATCAACAGTAAACTGAATGGGAGCGGAGGCAGCCATGGTACGCAGGTAGTACATGCCAGTCTTCAGACCCATCTTCCACCCAGCAAAGTGCATGCTGGTGAGCTTGCCCATGGTAGGCTCCTTCAGGTGAACGTTGAGAGACTGAGACTGGTCAATGAACGCACCACGGTCGGCGGCCATTTGCAGGATGGTACGCTGAGAGAGTTCCCACACGGTCTTGTAGAGAGCCTTGATGTCGGCGGGAATATTGGGAATGTTCTGAACGGAACCACCGTCCGCGATGATACGGTTCTTCATGTTGTCCGACCAGAGACCAAGGTCGACAAGATCCTTAAGAAGCCAGGGGTTGACGACCTGGAACTCTCCAGCAAGCACACGGCGAGAGTAGATGTTCGAGGTGTAGGGCTCGAAACATTCGTTGAAGCCCAGAATCTGGCTGGTGCTTGCAGTGGGCATCGGTGCCACCAACAAACTGTTGCGCACACCGCTCTGAGCGATCTTCGCCTTCAGAGCATCCCAGTCCCAGAGGTCCGTGGGCGTTCTGTCCCACATGTCATACTGAAGAATACCTTGAGAGACGGGGGAGCCCTCGTAGGTTTCATAAGGGCCAAACTCCTTGGCCAGCTCACACGAAGCAGTCAAAGCACCGTGATAGATGGTCTCAAAGATCTGGATGTTCAGCTGTCTGGCCTCGGCAGAGTCGAACGGCAGACGCAGGGCAAGGAAGGCATCGGCCAGACCATTGACACCAAGAGCAATGGGGCGATGCCGCATGTTGCTCTTCTTGGCCTCGGGAACAGGGTAATAGTTGATGTCAATGATCTTGTTCAAGTTGCGAACCAAGACCTGCACAACCTCGTGCAGCTTGCCGAAGTCATACTCTCCACGCGCCGCGTCGACGAAGGTAGGAAGGGCGAGAGAAGCCAGGTTGCAGACAGCAACTTCGTCAGGAGCACTGTACTCAATGATCTCCGTGCAAAGGTTGGAGCTGCGAATAGTACCCAGATTCTTCTGGTTGCTCTTCTTGTTGCAGGCATCCTTGTAAAGCATAAAGGGGTTGCCAGTCTCGGTCTGAGCCTCAAGAATAGCGTACCAAAGCTTTTGAGCCTTGATGGTCTTACGGCCACGACCTTCCTTCTCGTATCTATTTCACAATCAGCACATAATTAGAAGACTAGTGGCTACGGCACAAACTCACTGTTCATAAAGAGCATCAAACTCGTCGCCATAGACATCTGCCAGGCCGGGGGCTTCATTGGGGCAGAACAGAGTCCAGTCACCGTTGGACTCAACTCGCTTCATGAACAGATCAGGAGTCCACAGAGCATAGAACAGATCACGGGCTCTGACTTCCTCCTTACCGTGGTTCTTGCGAAGATCCAAGAATTCAAAGACATCGGCGTGCCAAGGCTCCAGGTAAATGGCAAAAGCGCCAGGGCGCTTATTTCCTCCTTGGTCGACATATCTGGCAGTGTTGTTGAACACACGAAGCATGGGAACAATACCATTGGAAGAACCGTTGGTGCCACCAATGTAGGAGCCTGTAGCACGGATGCGGTGAACGTTAAGACCGATACCACCGGCGGTCTTCGAGATCATAGCACAAGTCTTCAGTGTGTCGTAGATACCTTCGATGCTATCCTCCTTCATATCGACAAGGAAGCAAGAAGCCAGCTGCGGTTGGGGAGTACCAGCATTGAACAGAGTAGGAGAAGCATGAGTGAAGTATTTCTGGGACATGAGATGGTAGGTCTCAATGGCCTTTTCGATATCATTACCGTGAATACCGACGGCAACACGCATCAACAAGTGCTGGGGACGCTCAGCAACCTTTCCGTTGATTCGCAGCAAGTAGGACCGCTCGAGTGTCTTGAAGCCGAAAAAGTTGTAGTTGAAGTCACGATCGTATACAATAGCAGAGTTGAGCTCATCAGCATGTTTCATGACAATTTCATATGTCTCTTTCGAGATCATTGGTGCCGGTTTCTTGTTCTTGGGGTTGACATAGTGGTAGAGGTCCGAGATGACCAGCGAGAACTGCTTCTTGGTTTGCTTGTGGAGGTTGGAAACGGCTATACGGGCAGCGAGGATGGCATAATCAGGGTGAGTGACGGTCATGTATGCAGCAGTCTCGGCAGCCTGTGAAATGAACGAAGAATAAGCAGCTGTCTTCCATCATTTGAATGATTTTAAGCCATACCAAGTTATCCAGCTCAACAGTGGTGACACCCTGGTAGACACCAGAGATGACCTTCTGCGTGATAGCAGCAGCATCGACGTGTTCTGGATCAAGGCCATAGCACAGTCTTGATACACGAGCAGTGATCTTGTCGAACTGTACGCGTTCCTTGCGTCCGTCTAAAGATTTCGCAAGTCAGCCAGAGTCCGATGCCCAGTGGCAAGAAGCCAGTTATTCAAGAAAAGTGGAAGGCTTCTTGTTGCGAACTAGAGTATAGAAAGAATATAGATCTGGATTATCCAATTCTTACCTCTCTTGTAGACAAACATTGTGACTGATATTAGAGGACTCGAGGTTGAGACAAAGGTGCAACGGGGTATAATGTTATATCAAGGGTTGAGGAAGGTACTCAAATGCTAACTGATGAATCTAAAGGATGAAAAAAAGAATGAAGGAGTCGTCAGTAAAGAGAAGATGTTGAGCAAAGGGACTGAAGGGAGACATGAGAGGAAAAAGAAGTCGGAGGGGCAGAGGTATTTGATATGTCGCCCGGGCGAACGCGTACCCTCGTGAGTATTGACGCGAATTTTCGTGTTTGGACTAAATGGAATCCCTTGCAGATACTGCATCCTTTGTAATCAAGCCTACCTTAGATTTGTCAGAACTACGGTGGTCCGAGAACGCGCAGAAGCGCAGTCACGTGATTCCAGAGGCAGGTGGGAGTTCGTTTATTTGTGAGGCTCCCTTATTGATACCACGCAACAAGACTCCTTTCCGACGAGACTTCATCGAAGTATCAGATCATGCGAAATGGGTTTTACGAAAGACAAGAAACAATCTCTGTTTGTACAGATATGTGTGCTCTTCTATGAGACAGGTCAAAGTCAATCCATGACTCGAACTAGATGGACAGAACAAAAATGAAGCATGAAAGAGAACAATTCACAAATGTCGCAGTGCAATCGTCGATCAAATGAACAACTCTTGTAGATCACAACTTTACAAGGACGCAGCAAAGCCGAAGAAGACGACAGCCGCAAAGGCTGCTGCCGAAACCTGTCGATCAGACGAGCCAGCTGAGACGGTCTGGCTAGCGGACGCAGCGCTGGAGCTAGAAGTTCCGGATTTGCTGCTTCCAGAGCTAGAAGAGCCAGTTGCAGTAGCAGTGATGAAACCGGTGTTGGTCGATGTCGAGCCCTTAGTGGAAGTACCGGTGGCAGAGGATCCAGAGGTCGTGGGGGATTTGATAACTTAAGAATGTATGGTTAATGATGAGGCCGATTCATCCTTCTGAATTTTGACGAGGTGCCCCGGAGAACATACCAACGTTGTAGCCTGCAGCGTCGCAGGTATCAGCGAACCACTTCAGGGCTGCTTGCTCACTATCACCACAAGTGTCCGCGATGTTTTTCTGCACATCATCGCCATTCGTAATACACACGGCCTTGAGGTCGGCGGGATTCTTCTCAGCTCTATTGTTGGAGGTATCAGCTAATGCTCCCTTTGCGCATATCACATTTCAGGAATCGACGTCGAGAAGCGTACCCTACAACCGAGAGAAGGCAGGCAGGTGGCTGCGCAGCAGCGACAATGTTGCCCAGTGCCAGAAATGAGAGAACGAAAGCAGACTTCGAGAAGAACATTTTAATGGTGGAGCGTCGAGACCTCGGGGAAATGGTATTAATACGCGTATTCGATCAGGGGCGACGAGTCGTAGAAGCAAAGATGCTGAAATGAAGGAGTGACAGTAATGTGTAAACAAAGAGCGACTGGATGATTCTATTGAAAAGAGCGTAGGTCGAGTATTGTGTATCAAATGAATGCCTGCGTAGAGAGTGACAGACAACGATCAGTAGATTGGACAAAGATCTCAAAGCAGAATCATCATCAGTTGGAGAAGCAAAGCGGGAATCTTAGGGGGCAAACGACTTTCGCAAAGCGCCTTGTGCCCCAATACAGTTATGACCCTGCCGATCTATTGTCCCTGAGCAACTTTGTTGCCCAAGACCAATCTTACCATACGGCACTAAGCCGCTTGGGGATATAAACAGCCTCGATGTGGTTAGAGGACAGGGACACGATTGGTGGAGCATCCGGGGGAGTTAAGCTTATGTAATATGAGTCTGTAAACCGAATTTCCCTTACAGTGGGAGAAAAGTCGCCTTGCCTACATGTCTTACTCATGTAAATTCAGTGTCTAGAGTGGTGAGCGCTACGGAGTAGTTGCCTTCATGTTCCTTGGAAAGACAGGCTCAATGAAAGTAGTCTATGGTTGCCAGCACGTAAGTCATAATGCAAATAAACAGGGTCCCAAAGGCCATAAAGAGTCATCAGGTGGTGATTGTGTATGGTCCAAACGCCAAAAGGAAGACACATGTCCGTCGAGAATGATGGGGCAATCACCTATCCCATCGGGTATCATAGTAACTGGTAATAACCTCTTGAACATCCATTCTGTTATCCACAATCTCCTGCCCGTTGACGAGATCGTTCTCCATCGCCCGTTTGTCCGCCTCAGCTTCATCCTTTGCGATCCCCGCTTGAACATGCCGCCGAACCAGCCTCTTCCGGGCAGTCTCAAAATCAACCTCAACGAACCATAGCTCATCCATGAGCTTTGCCGCTGAGCTCCATGGTTCCTTGTTCAAACTGAGGTAGTTGCCCTCAAAGAATAGTATCCTGCTCGTTGGAGCAATGGTTATATCGTCATCAACCGGGTCCTTGACCGCATGATCAAAGCTCGGAGCGTACAATTCATGCGTCTCTGATGTTATCGGCTCCCTCAATGCCTGCACTAGTCTCAGAAACTTCTCGCCGTCAAAGGTGAAAGCCGCACCACGTCGCGCAGCAGCGTAGTCTGGGTCTGGCATTTGAGCCAGTTGTGCTCGTGTGAAATGATAGCCATCCATAGGGATGTCAGCCGCTATGGGCGGCTGATTTGCATGTTGTTTTGAGTAGAGCTGGTTGATACGATTGGCCATAATGGTGGCGAGTCCTGTTTTCCCAGAACCTGGGATGCCACTGATAGCAATCATCAAGCGAGCATTTTCTGGTAAAGAATGGAACTTCTCTGCGACATAGGTAGTCAGTTACATGCTGCAGAGCTTATTAATGTTTGGCATATGACATTGGAGACGTATGCGCTACCAAACATCAAAATGCAATTGAGCAAACTCACTCCATACTTTATCCACTAGCCTGTCTACTTGCTCCTCCATGCTGAGAAAGGGCGAGAATCGAAGCAAATTAGATGCAAACCTGAGCTCAACAGAGAGAAGTTCAACAGAAAGCCAGAAAGGGAAAGATGAATAAGTGAAAGCTCCCTCTATCTCGGGTATCGGAAAATGCAGTCGACAGTATATAGGATTGACAAGGCAGATTGCTCTCAAGAGGCGCTTCAATGGTAAATTCTAACAGGACATCAAATTGATACGTCAAGATAACAGTTATCGCAGCTTAGGGAACGACGATGCTTGAGATCACGGGCCTGGAAGCTCATGATTGAAATAAATAAACGCAATCGGCGGGGCTCGGTCATTGGAGTGGGGTTCTTTCTTCGCAGCACCGGAACCCCAGCTACGTCACACAGAAGAGGACTCCGTTGATGGCTTTGTAGCCGACACCATCGCATTAAGCATCTTTCCCTAAATCACTTTTATCAGGCTGAGTTGCCTACAGAGATATGGAAGACTAAATAGAGTTGTTTTCCTGATTGAATTTCTATTCAGGGTTGCGCCGTATGACTACTGATCGGTATTCGAATTCCCCGAGCTTCAAGTCTGCCAAACCAGCGGTCTTAAACTTCAAAGAACATGGGGAGAACTAGCAATGCAGTGGACGCCTTTTCAGGTCCCAGCTTGATTTCGGAGTATCGTCACCGATTTAGAAGAAACTCGGCTTTGATTAGTAAATCACTGTTCCTAAACAGCTAGCCAGCAACAAGTGGGCATATGTGTACAGATAACCTGACACTATATATGAGTTCTCTCAAGCAATACCCAAAGCAAAAGAGGCTCCGCTTACTCGAGCTATTGAAAACAAACCAACTTGGGAAACCGTGGAACGCCGATCATGACCATCCTTCCCGCTGAGACCGGGAACACCCCGAGCAATTGCCTCTGATCGATTACCAAGAAACAGCAATCAACATATTACAAGAAAAAGATCAGATAAGCATCTTCATGACGGTCTAGCCGATGCATTCGTGTTTTCGGTGTCATTGGAACCGTTGTTTGCGCCAAGTCTGTGGCCAATGGCGGGAGACAGTCCGGCTGCTGCCCACCAGTCATCAGGTATGATCTCCCTGCGAGCAAGTCGATCCAATATCGCTTGCATCTGCTGGAGTTCTGGGTCGGTAGAAGAGTTGGAAAAGGCGAATGAGATTGTAGGAATGGGAGGATGGCTACTCATTGTTGAGTGCACGTCATCTGAGCGTCTGGAAGTACCCATTTGGTGCATTCGGCGATGGTAGCGCCGCCACAAAGAGAGCTGATTAAAATCTCCTTCCGATGCGGAATCAGAATCCGTGGAACTAGGGTAGTCACACGGATTGATATATTCTGGGTACGGATCGAGCACCATCCGCACCGTTGCTGTACTTGAATCGAGGGAGCTAGGAAGTGTCTGAGAAGAGCTTTCTGGGTTTCTGGACACCGTGCTCGCTGACGCATTCAGCCCGGACGCCGACGCTGAAGCAAAGGAAGAGTTGGCGCTAGGAAGATTGTCATCAGGCGTAATTGTAGTCAAAAGGGTTTCCCACGCGTCATTCGAAGTGTCGTCATCTGGACTCATGCTGCGTTGACGATCGCCGAGACCATCAACAGTCATATCACGATGCATAGTCCCATTGGCCTCATTGACAGACCGCTGGCCAACTCGCCGTAGCAAGGGCACGGTCGTTCCAACGACCTCAAAGCCGTCCGGGGGGAAAGATGTAAGGCTTGGGCGCGTCTGCGGTGGAGGAGATATTCTTCTGTGATATGCAATAGCAGGCGCAAAACTTGGCGTAAAAGCAGGATGCTCCGAGCTTTGTCGGTGGCCAGAGTCACCCCCGGGTGAAGGGCGGCGATACGAATCGGAGATAGAGGTATTGCGCAGAATCCTCAATCGCTGGCCGGGACGTCCATGGCGAAGCGCTTCGTGCAGCAAGCGTTGACCAGCCTCGCGCCTGTTGGCATCGCTGATCATGGAACTCAAATCGAACGGATCTTCACCGGAGGTAGTATTCGGGACGGGAGAACGTATGTGACGCTGTGATCCATGCGCCTCGCGCTCAATCTCGTCTGCGATCTCACGAGGAAAGGGGGAACGTAACGATGCGCCTCGTAAGGTGGAACTACTGTAACGCGAAGGGCGGCGAATAGTGGCCTGGCGACGGATTGCAGAACGCGCAACGGCAGAAGGATCTTTAATGGGTTTGTTCTTGCTGGCCTCAGGAGAGGGCTCGCGGTACATTCTGCGCGCGCACATCAGTACGGGTGGCTGTCCCATGCGCCGGCAGGCTACAGGCCCAGAGCGCGCTGAAAATCAGAATACTAGGTCAAACTCACGGTATACCCATGACTGGAAAGTGTACGCGGATTTAACAGATAAACCTCAGGTAAACCCCATCAAAACTGCACTAAAGAAAGCCACGCCGAAGATGACGCGAATAATTCAGAAAGCAAAAAAGCGCGACGTTTGCGGGGGCGCAAGAGTGATGACGGTCTGTCCGTGTACAGACAGGAACAGAGTACAGAGTAGGTACGGAGTAAAGGTTAGGTGCTCCGTAATGGACTAATTAATGGAGAAAGCGGCAAGTTTCAGTTTTGCTCCAGAAGGAAGCGGAGGCAAAGAGATTTGCGCCTGAGGCTGCGACTGTGGGACGAAAGGAGGCTGGGATGTGGCGCTGAGAAAACCACAGAACTGTGCGTACAATGCAGTACGGAGTACCTACCTTACAGCTTAGAGAGATACGATACAGCAGCGGAATTTTCCGTAGGGAAGTTCAGCGGTTAAGGCCCCTCTTCGGAAAAGATCTCTGGTGCCTCAGGGCTCAGGCATCAAACCCTTGTTGCCCGGCTGCCAAATGTCAACCGACCTCCGGTAAGTCAGCCGAAATTGCTCGGAAAGTCGTAAAGACCTGCACAAAGTTTAAGTAATTTCATATTCATTGCTTTTTTCAATATTTTATAATTCTTGGACCTGAGCTGGCTCTGATTGACTCCATGAGTGCCTAATCGCCCCGGAGTCGTTCCTGATCATGAGGATTGCTTCTGATAAAAGTTCAGACGTCACACGATCGGAGGAATGATTGAGCTCGGTCTTAGTCGCATATCTAGTCTCCTCCAACAGACTCCTCTGTCATGGAAGGCCATCCACATAGCTGGAACTAATGGCAAAGGCTCCATTAGTGCCTATTTGTCGCACATGTTGACTGCGGGTGGTGTACGTTGTGGTCGCTTCACCTCTCCTCATCTAATCGATCGATGGGACTGCATCACCATAGGTGAGAGCGTTGTGCAGGAGTCTCTTTTTCGCCAGATTGAGGAGAGAGTCAGATTAAGGGACCAGTCACTGGGAATAGGGGCAAGTGAGTTTGAGCTGCTCACTGCGACGGCTTTTGAGATCTTCAATCATGAACACGTCGAGGTTGGGGTGGTCGAGGTGGGAATGGGTGGCCGCTTGGATGCTACGAATGTGCTGAGCGATGTATTGGTGTCGGTCATTGCGAAAATAGGGCTGGATCATCAGGCCTTCCTGGGAGATACTCTAGAACAAATCACCCGCGAGAAGGCTGGGATATTAAAGCCTGGTGTTCCATGTGTGGTTGACGGCACCAACGCTCCCGAAGTGATTAGAACCCTTGAGGATCGTGTTAACGAGTTGAAGATCGATGCTGTCTACGCACATCCTGATACGATATGCTCCCAGTCACCATCCCTGGGCCGTATCTTCAAGGAGCTTGATCTACAGCGTCATCAACGGGCTAATATGTCCTGTGCGGTGTCGGCGCTTCGGCTTGCCCTATCGAAGGTTCATCCAGAGCTCGAAGTGGACACACTTCTACCTTCCCTCTCAAAAGTAGAGTGGCCAGGACGTTTGCAAAAGATTTCGCTGAGTCCTCTCACCGCCCGCAAAGAGCCTATCTTGCTCGATGGTGCGCACAATAGCCAGTCGGCTGAGGTTCTCGGAGAGTACGTGGACAAAAACTTGCGTCCTCAGGGTAGTGTCACTTGGGTCATTGCAGCGTCGCGCGGGAAGAATGTGACCGCGCTCTTCCATTCGATAATCAAAGCTGGCGATAAGGTCGCTATCACGGCATTCGGCCCTGTTGATGGAATGCCATGGGTGAAAGCAGCTGATCCAGAAGAGTTGGCTCTCTGTATTCAATCAATTCCAGGTGTCGAGGATGTGCGGAAATTTGGCGAGGACATTCTTGCTGCCATCAATTGGGCTTGTACCGAGGCTGGCGGCTGCCCCTTGGTAATTGCAGGAAGCCTGTACCTTGTATCAGACGTTCACCGTCTCTTGCGCGAAGCGCGCAGAAACGCAGGAAATATATCGGGGCCGTTAGAAGCATAATGATTTGAGATGCCCTCTTTTACAGCAGCATTTTGAAATATTAGTGTCATGTAGATAAGCCAGTCAATCATCGAGTCCAGCAAGAGCGAATACTTCATGCTGAAGGCGTTTTGGGCAAGGAAAGACAGTGCAAACGATAAGGGAAATTAGTCCATCACTTGTAAAGATGGTTAGCTTGAGCAAAATTCCGAGTGATGTCGTTGAATTGTCAAGATCGTACCTCTCGTAAGATCGGCTGTGATAAGGCTGATCGGAGATACTGAAGGAGCCGGTCGCTGCGTCATGGCTCGGATGGGAGCTGACCCTTGTGGAGAAGGCAAAAGTTCAAAACATTGCTTTTTACTTTTTCTGCAACAGCGGACACAGCAGTAAGTATGACTTTCTTAGTCCATCATCAGCTTATGATTTCTTCTGCGATAAGATCAACTAATGAGGAGACACATTTAGCAGTTCAGAAGCAGGCCTCTGATGTGCATGTGTAGGAACGCGTGTGTGCTCAGCGCATGTCGATGACTGTGAGAGCAAGAAGCCCTCCTGTATGTTTCTAAACTCTCATCATGCCATTTTGATGACGAGGGGTTTGTTTCTGACATACTTCTTCCAATACCAGGTATATTACTTTACTAACAACTGTCTTCTTCCCATGGCAGACCGTGCTGACATGATTGATCCGACCAACCCCTGGCTCCTGCCCTTTCTTTATCGATCATTTTCCACCTGAGACCACTCGGTCCGAGACAACCGCAGAGACTAGCGACTCAGTACAAAGAGGGTGCCGACATTTGAATTCTCCGGCAATGGTCTCTAGATCTAGTGAGGGGAATGAGGGGCCCCCTCCATCCTCGAGGACTCCTGGAACTCCAGCCAAATCGCGAGTCGCCAAATTCGGATCCAGCCCCTCGAAACGAGAGGAAAAAACTGGCGAGGGCAGAGTGGTGAAGTCATCTGCGAAAGATGTCGCCGAGCTTAAAGATTATGTACGTATATGGCTCCGTTATGTGTACCCAGTCCTTGACACGCTAACACAGGCACATTGAAGCAATTGGGTGACTGCTTGGGTAGAGGCGCATTCGGTTCAGTCTATAGGGCGTTAAACTGGAACACAGGGGAGACTGTTGCTGTGAAGCAGATCAAGTTGGCCGATCTCCCGAAGAGCGAATTACGAGTCATAATGGTATGACATATGAATCCAACGGTTTGTTGTGAGGAATGCATTACTGACAGTATACGCTGCTGTAGTTGGAAATCGACCTTTTGAAGAACCTAGATGTGAGACCCAGCCGCCAGATGCAACCGTTCCACGGAGCTGACTGAATGGCCGCAGCATCCTAACATCGTCAAGTACCATGGTTTCGTCAAGTCTGCTGAAACTTTAAACATTATCCTGGAGTAAGCCTCTTTGCCCATCAACTGACATAAAATCAAAGGTGCTAACAAATGTAGGTATTGTGAGAATGGCTCCTTGCACTCCATCTCCAAGAACTTCGGTCGCTTTCCCGAAAATTTGGTCGGGCTATACATGTCACAAGTTCTCCACGGGCTTTTATATCTGCACGAGCAGGGTGTCATTCATAGAGATATAAAAGGCGCAAACATTCTCACGACAAAGGAGGGACTCGTCAAACTTGCAGACTTCGGTGTCGCCAGCCGTACTACTGGACTGAGCGAATCGAGCGTCGTCGGTACGCCGTACTGGATGGCTCCCGAGGTGATTGAACTTTCAGGCGCAACTACAGCCTCAGATATCTGGAGTCTCGGCTGTACGGTCATTGAATTGCTTGAAGGAAAACCTCCCTACTACAATCTTCAGCCTATGCCGGCGCTGTTCCGTATTGTCAATGATGACCATCCTCCTCTTCCACAAGGCGCCTCTCCGGTAAGTCCTTTATCCCTTGTCGATTAGGCCCCCTTTCTAATGACGATACTAGGCTGTCAAGGACTTCCTGATGCAATGCTTCCAGAAAGATCCTAATCTTCGTGTCTCTGCAAGAAAGCTCCTGAAACACCCTTGGATTGTGAATGCTCGTAGATCGGACTCAGTGGTGCCTAAGAAGTCTACAGAGTATGAAGAAGCGGTCAGAAGCGTCCAAGAATGGAATGAGGCTCTGCGATCTCCTGGTGCGGGAACTTTGCGGAAGCCCTTCAGACACGATCATCAGAGTCCAAGTCCCCTTCGTCGGAATCAGCCACCATCTCGAAACACCCCCACCAAAGACGCTCTCCCAGCTCCCGTTGCCAGCAGTGCCAAAGACCAATCCCTGCTGGCGAACTCAACTGCCGAAGACAATTGGGACGATGACTTTGCTACTGCCATTTCACCTAGTGCGCTGCAGCTGCCACACCTTCGACCGCATGATAATTTCGGAGGAATGCTTTCGTCTGAAAAGCTCAAGGCATTTGCCTCACTCGATGGAACAGTGATCAGATCCGAGGATAGTTTTGAAGACTTCAACGACTCGTTTCGGACAACTCTGCACTGCGGAGAGTCGGATCCTCTGCAGACTATCCGACCTTTCCCATTCAAGCAAACCGCCGCGAACGATGGGTTAGCCCAAAATTCGCCGCTCCAGCAGGCGCCAAAAAGATCTACTCATTTCGCACATAACGTCCCAATTCTGACGCAAAATCCTGTTCCACCTTCGAGACAGGCTCGTCCAGCCTCATTTTACAAAGAGAATTCAGTGGAGGATTATTCTGATCTCATAATAACTGACGAAGACGTTCTGGGCCGAAAACTTAACATTGTGAAAGTAAGCATGAAGGCCAATATTCATCCGAATGTTAACGACAGTTTGTCTGACCTGTTTCAGGAGACGGATGAAGATGTATATCCCGCGAGTTTAGCAGACCTTTCGCCATCAAAGGAGATAGTCCGATATCACGCACCCTCTCAGGATGACGAGCAAGAAAACCAGCTGCGGAGACAGCTTTCAACCAAGCGTCATAGATCAGCGGTAGAAATTCACAGATTTGCCGAGAACGAGACAGACGAAGACTTCTCTGATATCTTGGGTGCTGAGGAGGTCGCCCTAGACAAGCCAGACAGCGATGGTAGCTCAGATAGAAGCACCTTGATGATGCTCAATTCACGACACTCAACCAATTCTTGGCTCGGAGACCAAGACGACGAAGATGATCCATTCGCCCAGTTAGAGGAAGGGCTCGATGAAATGGACTTGGAAGCCAACATTGCGCGCGATAAGTATGCTCGGCTCCGTGGTCAAGTTGAAGGGCTAGTGAGCTCGCTGAAGACTTCCCAAGATGAAGATGTACTTGAGGAAATCTCAGAGCAGCTATTGACGATATTCTGTGATCTTCCGGAAACGAAAAATATCATTATGAGCGCCCACGGCATGCTACCCATACTTGAGATTCTTGATACGTGCCGCCGACGCGACGTCGTCTCGTGTCTCCTGAAGATTGTGAATGCAATCATCTATGAGGATTACGAGATTCAAGAGAATTTGTGTTTTGTTGGTGGAATTCCAATTATTAATGAATTCGCTTCGAAGAAGTACCCGCGCGAGATTCGACTGGAGGCAGCTGCCTTTGTACAGCAGATGTATCAAACTTCGACCCTGACTCTTCAGATGTTTGTCAGTGCAGGAGGGTTGAATGTTCTTGTTGAATTTTTGGAAGACGATTATGAGGATGAACGAGATCTTGTCCTCATAGGCGTCAATGGAATCTGGAGCGTCTTTGAGCTGCAAGTAAGTCCCATCCATCACAAATTTTATGCAGTTAACATCTGACACTGGCAAGGGATCCACGCCAAAGAATGATTTCTGCCGAATTCTGTCTCGCAGTTCGGTCCTAGACCCTCTCTCTCTCGTATTGAGCCGAGTATTGGACGAAGGTGGAGAACTGGCCGAAATAGTCGAGGGGCGCATTGCCAGCATCTTCTTCGTTTTCTCTCAGGCTGAAAATCATGTCAAGGAGATGGTTGCCGAACGAACTGTTTTGCACAGTAAGTTTGGATACTTGTCTCGAGAGATCATGCATTTTCTGACTCCAATTCCTAGGGGTGCTGAAGGAATTGAGGCGTATGACTCCTGCTCATCAAATAACGATGTTGAAGTTTATTAAGAACTTATCCATGCTGTCGACTACGCTTGACTCTCTGCAGAACTCCAACGCCATTGACGTGCTGACTGACCTTTTGAGGTCAACCATCAAACGGCCACACTTCCGAGAAGTCTCCAACCAGATCTTGAACACTATCTACAATATGTGTCGTCTAAATAAGTCCCGACAAGAGGACGCTGCATTGAACGGTATCGTGCCGCTGCTCCAAAAGATTGTTAAGACTGAACGACCTTTAAAGGAATTCGCTTTGCCAATCCTTTGCGACATGGCACATTCCGGGAAAGTCGGACGTCGTGAGCTATGGCGCAATAGAGGATTGCCTTTCTATATATCCCTGCTTTCCGACCCTTATTGGCAGGTGACTGCCTTGGATGCCATCTTTACCTGGTAAGCTCATTGCACCTTTCGGCAGACGTGGCTTGAACTAATAATCTTCGTAGGCTACAGGAAGAGACGGCGAAGGTTGAGGAGCACTTGCTCAGTTACCACCCTGATCAGCCATCATTCACAGAGTCCATTATCAGATGCCTAACAGTCTCGAAGGCTAATGCTTTTGAGAATCTCCTTGAACCGCTTCAGAAGCTCCTTAGGCTGAGCCCTCCCATCGCGTTGACATTCGCTCGGGAAGATATGTTTGTCCGGATCAGGCAAAAACTGCATCATAACAAAGCTGCCGTTCGCTTGAACCTTTTGCGAATCATATCCAGTATTTGTGAGGCCAGCGAAGACCAAGGTGGTCTTCTGGCAGAGTATGGCCTCCTTGAAGCAATCAGAGAACTGGAGCATGATCCGGCCATCCTTGTTCGGGACATGGCTGGAAAACTCATTCAGTCTAATGAGAGAAGCGAATCCTATGGATTAGGGAAGCGCAGACCAGGTGTGAGGAGAGGAAGTACTGCTACCACACCACCTGGTCTTTTGTCAAACCAATCTGCTCCGAGTACTCCTTCGATGAATCGTTCGAATCAGTCAAAAAGCTACTTCGATGGGCGAGAGGTCCAAAGACACCCGCGCAATGCTCTCAGTGGGTCAGCGCTTTCGCTGCGGCCTGCTAGTAGAGATGGTGCGAGTCCCGCTCTTGCCGTAGGTGCAAGCAAAGGCTCCAACGCCTCAAGCGCTTCCAGAAGTCGGCTATCGCGTGGCATGTCCAGCAATAGATTGTCGCACATTGACCTTCTTCCTGAAGAAGATAGCAGGTCGCAGAGTTCACTGTCACGTCGACCCTCCATCCTCCCGCGACGCCGGCGTCAAACACATGCTGATGGTGAATGGTGACTTTGGCATATTCTGCACTCGCTTTTCCTTCTTCTACCTCCGTCCTCTTTACTTCGACACCGCTTAGGCATTTTAGCTCTCAATTGAGAGCCTGTAGATTTCCACAGCCTTTCATCCAAATGCATTGCATCATATGGGCGTCCCTGAAGATTCTTCGTGTTCTACCTGGTCTGCAAAGAGCTAACATTGAGTTGTCATGTCTTCCTTGGCGCATCTTCATGTATAGTATTTTGAAAGGGGCTACTCGTTTGACTGTTAGATAATATAAAAATGGCATTTCGCTCCTTTGGGGTCAATATATTGGATATCTGTTGACACGATGTTTTAGATCGTGTGGTTGTCTTACTGCAATGTCATACCATGTGCCTTCTGATGTGCTGGGGGCCATTTCTGTACAAGATCGCCAGGTCACTACGAATGCTGGATCATAGATTGAGAAAGGTATGCTTATTCTCTGAAATTTTTTGGACCAAGATTTGATCTAATAGCAGATATGTTTAATCCTTTATATCTGTACTTTTAGATCACGTGTAACATGCTTCGGGCCGACACCGGGCGAGAAAAATCCCGAACGGCGGCGACAACCGCCACCTACGACTCCTGAAAGAATTTGTATTCTAGACAATCATGAAATGAGTCTGTACAAACGGAGTGCCATTTTGAGATTCGAGGTTACGCATGATCTGTGGTCGTCCCGTTCACGGTGCTGATTGCGTTCGGTATGAGAGCGGCGCTCCGCACCCCGTTGCGGGCATCGGGTTTTGACCCTGTGGCAGTGTTCAGATACAAGTCGAATGGGGCCTTCTTGAGCCAATTGTCGAAGTGCAATCATTCATCTCCGTCTTCTTTTCGGTCTACGGCCATCGCTCGAAGTTCGATAAAAGGGATATTTCGGCATCATTCACAGGCACGACCGTCATTCCGCACATGTCCAACTTCGCGGTTCTATTCTACGAAATCACCTAGCTTGCCGGAGGAGACAGAGTCTCAGCATTCAGGTTCACAGCGGTCGCAGAGGAGGATCTTAAAGTATGCAATCATCGCTGGTGTCGTCGGCGCTGCAGCGGTGACCTTATCAGATGATGCACAACATCTATATCGCGCGGCGCAGCGCACAGGCCGGGTTGTGGGAACTTTGGCTGTCTGTATCAACGAGTAAGTCCAGTACTTCTTGCATTTTCGACTATTGGCGTGTCACTTACATGGGCTCTTCTAGCTACCGAGTCACCCTCAAGCAAGAGACTTCGACACCAGAAGAACGACAAGAGTCTATCCGAGCATGTCACAAGCGTTGCGCAGAACGAACCCTGCGTGTTCTCGAGAAGAATGGGTCTATCTTTATAAAGTTGGGCCAGCATCTCAGTAGCATGGGCTATCTCCTTCCGTTGGAATGGACGACGACTTTCATCCCCCTTCAAGACAAGTGCCCCGTCTCGTCGGTCGAATCCGTCGAGGAAATGTTCGTCGCCGACACGGGCCATCGCATCGATGAACTGTTCTCGAGTTTCGAGCCATTGCCCATTGGCGCCGCATCTCTTGCCCAGGTCCACATTGGTACGCTGAAGGAGACTGGTCAGAAGGTTGCTGTTAAAGTGCAGCATCCTGCGTTGGCCGAATGGGTGCCCCTGGACTTGGCATTGACACGGTTTACTTTCTCGATGCTGAAACGATTCTTCCCAGAATATGATCTAGAGTGGCTCTCGAAGGAAATGGATTCCTCGCTACCTCAAGAATTGGATTTCCGCATGGAGGCAGAAAATGCCAGGAGGGCTAGTGAGTACTTCAAAAAGCACTCGGATGCTCCGTTAGTCATTCCGAAAGGTTGGTCGTCGATTGTAATTGTGAAACAGAAGTCAAGTGACCTTGCTAACACCCAAGTCAGTCATGTGGGCTCAGAAGCGAATCCTGGTTATGGAGTTCCTCTCAGGCCATCGTCCGGATGATCTCGAATATTTGGACACCAACCATATTGACCGCGACGAAGTCTCCGCCGCATTCGCGCATATCTTCAACGAGATGATCTTCGGAGACAATGCCCCGTTACACTGCGACCCCCATGGCGGCAATATTGCGATTCGCAAGAACCCCAACCGACGCCGCCACAACTTCGATATCATACTCTACGACCACGGCCTGTACCGCGACATTCCACGCGACCTACGTCGTAATTATGCTAAGCTCTGGCTGGCGGTCATTGAGGCGGATGAAGGCCGCATGCGCGAGTATGCGCGCAAGGTCGCAGGTATTACGGACGAGCAGTTCCCCCTGTTCGCGAGCGCAATCACCGGAAGAGATTACACCGTGCTAGCCAAGAAGGATGTCGTTTCTTCACGCACGGCTGCCGAAAAGGAGAACATCTCCGGTGCACTCGGGGAGGGCATGCTTCAACAGCTTGTTGAGTTGCTGGGCCAGGTACCCAGGATCATCCTCTTGATTCTAAAGACGAACGATTTGAGTAAGTTATGCGCGCTCTCTATGCTCTTTTTATTTTATTCTCGGAATCCCGGCTAATATCGCATGCTTTCCACCTTCAGCCCGCAGTCTGGACGAGAATCTACATACCCGACAGGGTCCCCTACGCACATTCCTCATCCTGGCCCGCTACGCCACTCGCACCGTCTTCGAAGAGAAGATGGAGAACATCAACGAGACCGGCGGCATCCTCCGCCCGCTCAACTTCTTGCGGTTCCTCTGGGCCTGGACGGGCTATCTCCGGGTTGAACTGAAACTATCCGTCTACGAGACTCTGCTGTCTCTGAAAAGTCGGCTCGGGTTGACCGGATAGAAGAGCGGCTAGCTCGTCTTCATACCGTTCGACTTTCCTCAGTTCGACGTGCTTGTAACCCTGTACACTCTTCTTTCACTCCTTAGAATCATTTAGACGGGACCGCTCCGATGGGTTCGGTCTGTCTGTGCATCAGCGTCGGCGTTCTTTTTTTCTCTTTTGTTTTCTCTACATGTATAAAGATTTTTTTTGTAAGTCTAGACATCTTTCATTTATAGATAGATCGAATATCTGTTTACTTCAATCTGATACCTCATAATTTAGAGCCCTCAGACCAAGGGTAATACCTTACTTACCGGGGTCCCCAGGGTAGGCGGAGGCCAAGTTCGCACACAACCTTACTGCAACTCGAGGTAGCGTCGACACAAAAGATATGTGATGGGGCCTCTGGAATCGTATCACACAGAGGTGCACATTCTTATTGATGAACCTATGACTCAAAAGATATTCATGATCATGCCAAGTTTACGGCACAGAACGTAAAACATGGGGGGAAAATTGAGAAAACAAAACTATACATAGATAAATTCAAACCATCGGTTGAATTCAGTGAAACGATGATGCTTTAATGATCCAAGCAGTCTGCAGTCTGAGGAGCAGTCTCGGTACGCCAGTCAATCGAACAAATAAACCCGGTATCGCCGTAATAGTGTTTTATGAATATATTATGCTACTTTTCATGCTCAAGCAGATCACAGACTGGCGGTCGGACCGTCGGCCTTTTCCACATTGGGAATGGAAGCCCCAGTGCCAGAAAGATCAGTCTTAGCGGCCTTGGGGTTCTTGGTGTAGTAGTCGTTGATGGCAGACTTGATGGCGTCTTCGGCCAGCATGGAGCAATGTAACTTGACGGGCGGCAGGCAGAGTTCCTTGGCAATGTCGGTGTTCCGGATCTTAGAGGCCTCGTCAAGCGTCATTCCTCGCACCAACTCGGTCAGGTAGCTAGAGCTGGCGATCGCGCTACCACAGCCGAAAGTCTTAAACTTGACGTCGGTAATCTTGCTGGTGTCCTTGTCGACCCGGATCTGGAGCTTCATCACGTCACCGCAAGCAGGTGCACCGACCAGACCGAGGCCAACATCAGGGGCATCCTTTGGTAGTGAACCAACTAAAAAATATGTCAGTTCCTGCAGAAGCATGTACAATTTTGAGACAAGAGCTTGAAGAATGTTGAAACTTGAGACCCTCCTCGAGCGCATAGGAGACAGATGAGAGCTGATCATGGTCATAGCAGTCTTCTCGTAGGGGCGTTGTATAGTGACTGATTCACTTTGGAAGGATCGAGGTCTGATAAGGGTGCCCTCCCAGGCGTAACAGAACCACTTAAAGCTCGCGTAAGAGATATTTAGGCGAATAGGATCCTCCTATTGTAGGATCCACCTTCATTCGATAAGAGCTGCGTGGTCTTGACAGGAGTGATTTTTGAGAAAGAGAAAGTCCACAGTTGTCGATTCATCTGTCTCCTATCGACGCTTCGAGGGAAGAAAGGAAAAGAAAGCAGCATATCAAGATTGCAAACATACCGTTGCGTGGGTTGTTGTAATGATCTAGCAGTGCAAGGAAGGTCAGCATTCGACTGGTCTGGACGAAACATCCCAAATCCATCGGTCTACTTATCTTTCTCGTGATAACTTCTCCTCTGAGGAGCAGGAGATGCCCTGTTGATGGGTTGAACCTGGATGCCGGAAATGGCCGGTGTAATGCGAGGCGACACGACAGTGCCGACTGAGCGAGGGGCGACAGTAGCCAAACGGCGGAACATGGTTGCTGAAGGTATGTGTTTGCGATTTCTGTATAGCTAGCGATCAGATGATGAGCGGTTGGATTGATGATGAGGCAAAAAGAGTATGCTGATAGAGTATGATGATGTACCCGAGGTTGTGATGTCGACGAAAGATTGATTAATTATTCTTCGGGGGCTCGCCTGTGCTCTCCATGTGCTAAACCCGATCCAGCAACACCGTCGCCTCCGCTATGTCCGGCCTCGGAGATAATTACACTATGACGTTCGGAGGGATTCACCATCGATTTTTTTTAACCCAAATAGGTATTAAAATGCCGACCCCAAGACCTAATTGATTGATATTGAACATCGAATTAGGCCGGCTGCCTACTTACAGTGGTCCACTGATCCAAATTGCGGTGGTACTGTTTTCTTTAATGGTGTTCTAGCGATTCTAGCACGGCAAAGAAGCTGGACGGCGAACTGATTGATTACCCCCACGATACTGTGATTGGTAATCTGCAGCCACCTGGAGCCTGTAATTGTGGTACGAGTGTACGTAATTTATTGCTTATCTTGCCGCCCTCCATCTGATAAAAATCCTCAGGGAAAACATTACGCCGATATCCGCCGACCTTCCACACCACCAAGCAGATACCTTTTAAGACATTATTGAACAAAGGCAGCCAGGACGAATCGAAGTCACCTTACCATGACTCAAAAGGGAGGAACGGGGAAACCCTTGGGGAGAACAACAGGGGTAAGTACGATTTATTGAATATCCTTCCAGTGCTATCATACACACTTCGTGTCACATAGCTCTATCTCACCGGTGGCATTCTTTACCGATTGCCCTAAAGTAACAACATGCTCCAATAGTCTCTAAATGCTCCGATAGCTGCCTTTACCATGGCAGTGATTCTATGCTCCTACTGCATCAGTTCCATCAATTCCGCTCGCCGCGAGGCACAATCGTCCCCGGCCACCGCGACTACAAGGGCGCAGAAGTTCTCCGTGGAAAAGTCTGACCAGTCATGGGTACAAGAGGCATTAGAAGAGAGCAGAGATGCAGAGCGGCGAAAGGGGCCGAGGTAGTCTTGCGTTAGATTTGTACGATAGTAGAGGCATCGAATATATTGAGTCAAAAAGAGTAAAAGGGGGGGGAAAAAAAAAGGCGCTCATAATTGAGAAAATAAGTTTCTGCTGTAATCCCTCCACAGATGCGTATGTCAAGTCCATCACACAAAGTCCATGATCAGAATTTTCAGTGTATGTGAATAGTCATATCCAGAGAGTATTGTAATCTGGATCTACCATTTCATTTGAATGTTCATCATATCAACGGAATTTGAGGATAACCTGGGAAGTCGGCCCTCATTGCAAGGACAACATACAACAGATTGATATCTGCAATGACGGCCTCAAGTTGGTCTAAAATAGCAGCTCATGAGGATAATAAGTAATGTCACCATACCCTTCATCAAAGGCAGGCATTGCACGAATTTTTCGCTATTACCAGGCAATATTGTTGTTCTTGAGATAGAGGGGGGAAATGCTCGAAAATTGAGAAAATGATAATCTGTCGCTTATTTAATCACGTGATGCTAGATGACATCATCTGGCGGTATGTCGATCTGATACGAGTCCAAAACACCGAAGAGAAATCATCTTAGTCGTTAGGTTGACTTGGTTTAGTATTTGAGGGCGACCTACTGTGTATTGGAACACATTGCTCAATATTCAGTATTACCTAGAAGGAATCCGATAGAACAGCTTGGACCATTCAGCTTGTTGGTGATATTTTCGACGGTTTGGGAAAGTCGATATGATTTGAATAATGCTGTATGGCTGTATGTACAAAGATGCAGATAATGCAATGGAATCGTCAAGGAGAACAAGAAAACAATGTGACAACAGAGACCGCTTGTAAGATACATATACTGCAGAACATGACGACCATGTATCAGTGAGTTCATGAGCCCCGCAAATGTCGCAGCCATGACCCTTGCTCTTAGACCTTTGGCTGGCCTGAGCAGAGCGTGGGACAGCCGAGAGTAATCGTCCACTGTTCCAGGGTACCAAATATAGTACGGTCAAAGCTGGAGATGGATGAGTACATATTCAAACTCAACTAGCCACCTAGTAAGAATAGAAAGTGAGCAAGTCACCTCTAGGGAGGGTAAAATTGCGTTGCTGAACCGAAACAGGAAAAGACGAGAGACACGTCTAGCATGCACCATTCGCTGCTTATTTACTCGTCCTGCAGCAGCAAGGCTCTTTCTCTATCTTCTGCCTCTGCCTCTGCCATACGCAGCTTCATCTCTCCCTCATGTTGCAAGTGACCGATCAGCTTACGAAGATACTCGTAAGTAAGCATTGTGGTCATGGCAGCCGGTACAGCCCGGAATAGATTCACCCCGATGCCGGAGTAGAATGCACGCCAGCCTTCCTCCCTCAGAATGGTCTGACATGTACGGAAAATGCCTGTATACCGCGGGCGGTTGGGCATGCCGTCTGATGAGGCCGCTCCTGGAGGCCGACCGCGGTCCTGTGGGTGATCTAGTCCGCCACGAAATGTGATCTCCTCGGGAGAAGGTGCTGGAGATGTCCTTTGCTGTGTCTGAAGTCTTGTCCGTAGCACTTCATGCGGGTAGGTTATCGTGCTGGCACAAATTTTGCTTAAGAATGTCGCACAAGATATGCCAATCCAGTGGGAGCCACCGTTATCAGGATGCTCCCCTATCCCGTACCCCGTAAAGGCCATCTTCAAGTATTCGTATAGCGGGAATTGAATGGCGACGTGCGTTAATCCGAGCAGCGCGGGGGTCAGTCCAGAATAAAATGACCTAATCCCTTCGGTCCTATACATTTTGCGGGCAGCATCCCAAGTGCTTGAGTACTGCCATGGAGCCGTATAGCCCTCACTGTTGGACTTGAGGCTTTGTGACATAAGCCGCGTTTTGATGACCCAGATGGGATTGGTGACTATAGTAGAGCAAGCACCGGCTGTTATTGATGCATAGCCTCTGGAAAGCCACCAGCTATCTGTTAATGTGACGGGGATTATTAGTCTGACATCCTACCTTCAGAGAAAGGAAAACACAGCGGTACTTACCTGTGGTTTCGTAGAAGTATTCTCGAGATCGGTCATAGACAGCCAAATAAACGGCCCAGGTAGGCAGATATCCTAAGAGCATGGGACCCAATCCTTGATATAGACCCCGAATCCCATCTTGCCGCCATATGATCCGCCCAGTACCTAGCATACCACGGTAGAGGGTTTTCGCCTCAACAACTCGGGCGCCTCGTCGGAGAAATCCGCCTTGCGCCTGCAGCTTCGTCTTGATCACATCAAGGGGGCATGTGACAATCCCAGAGGCCACACCTGCGCTGGCGCCGCAGAATGGCGCAATGTAGTAATCCGGTATCTTTGTGGACCATATTTCAAGATTTGTGACGAACTTGGAGCTGGACGGAGCTTCAGGGACAATATGAATGTCGGATGACGCAGGGTTGTCCGAGTGCGATACCTGCCGCTTTTCAGAGCTGCTAGCGGCTCCTGACTTGCCGTGACCGTCGGAAAACATCGCTCCGGTCAGCTTCCCTAGCAGCTTTCTCTGTCCGTCTTTGCTATCAACGAGGGCTCCCGGAACCGAGCATGTCGGTGCTCGCTCCGGAACCCAGCAAACCCTATTCTAACCAGGTCGACGTGAATAGTTCGACAAGTGAAGCGGTAGCAGTGGAGACACAGACTGGCGTAGATGATTGAAGGAATGGACGTGATTGAGCAGATTTTGGCGATGCTCTGATATGCTTGGAATTTTGTTCTGTTCGGAGGTACAGACGGGGCGGGGCCGGTAGCAGTGACACAGCTCCAGTGTAGGAGCAAAAATGTAATTCAACGGTCGATGAGCCCCATACCCAACCGGCAAGCGATACAGTCTGAATATGTAAAGGATAGGAAGTCTGATCAATGAGAAGATCGGAATACAAGGCGAGAACCGGGGCGGCGCGGATGATTGTGGACAAGATCAATCCAACGTACCTCTTTCGGCGGTCATGTGGAGTGACTAGTTACTGAATCCATTCCGGTCCCAAGCGCCAGGTCCGCGGCCTGAGGCACAAGAATCACATGACATAGATCGGAATCCTCAAAGCCATATTGATGCCTCAGGCTTCAAAATCGGATGTTTTTGGGAGAAAGTCGTCCCGGCCGGACCTCCGTTTTGCACAATCTCCAACGTCGGGTCACTCTTTGCAGCTTGACTGATCTCTCGCGATCTTCCCTCCCACACCACGCCCTCAATTGGATTCCCATCCACATCCATCTGGGATTAGTCACCATGTCCGCTCCTTCTCTCACCAACTACATTGTCAAGCGCCCATGGCTCAAGCGCTGGATGATGCCACTTGCCCAGTGGTACACCGACGCCGCCGGCTACAGGAGACTCGGATTGAGGTAGCCAACCCCCGCCTCCAACCATCCCAGGATGAGCGCCAGATGAGCAAGTTATGCGACAGCGACGTTCTTGAACACCTACCGCTGCTATATGAATGTCAGGTTGTGCATGATTACTCTCTGGTCGCTTATCTGAGACACATGTTGCTCCATGAACTGTCTACGCAAGCAGTCAAGCTGATTATTCTCAGATTCGATGACCTGATTCCCGAGGAGAGCGACGTTGTTCAGACGGCCCTTAAGCGTCTTCCTCCCAAGGAGGCCTACGACCGCGTCTTCCGTATCCGCAGAGCTTTCCAGGTGCGTCTCCGTCCAGGTCGCTCCACGACATCAACGCTAATTTGCCTCGTCAACACAGTGCTCCGTTTCCCACACCCTGCTTCCCGCTCACGAGCAGACCAAGCCCGAGGAGGTGAGTCGATTTCGCATTTTTATACTTGCTCCGACCTCGTCAATCCCCCGCATAACGTATTGGCCAATCCCGTGACGCGGATTTGTCAACCGAGTTGTATCGGGTTCATCACTTCTCTCCGGTCTCGAGATACGTTCAGAAAGCACTTGCGTGTTAAATAGAGCACCATAGATGCTAATTTTACTTTCTAGGACGTCGAGTACCTGAGCCCCATCATCCGCGAGATCGAGAAGGAGAACAAGGAGCGTGAGGACCTCGACACCCTCGTTGTTAGACGGTAGATGGCTTGATCCCTAGTCATAATGGGCATAGAACATACGGAATCGTGTCACTAGGGTAATAGACGGACGGAAAAATACGAGGAAGGGGTTGTACGATTTAGCGGCTGTGCTTTGCCTACGAGCCTGCGGCTGAACTTTGATTGGAACTTCGGATTGATCGCTCAAGTCTTGTGTACTGTTACTGTACAAATTCATCGTCATTTTTCTGATCATTCGGTTGCCATGCAAACCTACAACCGCAGTCGCGATGCATGCATGTTCATCTCTGGTAGTGGTGAAGACGGGCGACTTCGACCTTTCGATTTTGTATGATCTTGAGATAGATCGGTCAGATTGTGACGACATACTTCCCTACGTATTCGACGCAGTGCCGCCGTCTAAACCGAGCAGTGTCATCTCTTTCAGCGATTATATGATCCAATTTGAGTAGTACCTATATATACTGGAGAAATGTCGCATGTGGGCCTCTCAAGCGTTCATTACAGTGACATCGACATCCTCTACACGCCACATGTACCACATGAAAAGGCTCCTGCGATGCTAATGTGAGAAAAAAGCTCTATGACCCAGCTTTATAGAAGTAATCGAAGAAATTGCGACACCAACTTACCTGTACGGGGCGAACTTCGCAGCCAGTTCCAGCATATCTTTCTCAGCCATGTACTTGAACTTACCGCCTCCTTTAGCCTTTAACTTGCTCACGTCCTTTCCCATGAACGCCGCGCAGCCTCTTCTGTTTTCATCGTTAGGGGGTTATGCTTGCCAGGAGTAGTCGAACGCTTATTGCCGCGATGAGGTTTGGCAGGGTGAATGATAAACTTACTGCACGCCGAGATCCCCAGTGGAAAAGACATCAATGCGCTTCAAGGCAAAGCAGGCAAACATCTCAACAGACCATTTGCCTAATCCTCGGACGGCAATCAACTTCTCCATGAGCTCTTCGTCACTGGCATTGAGCAGCATTCTCGCGCTCAGTTCCCCGGTAGCGAATTTCTGCGACAGCCCGTGGATATATTCGGCTTTTCGCTGGGAGAGTCCAGCCGTGCGTAGCGTAGCGAGGTCACATTGGACAATCTCCTCTGGTGTTGGGAACCGATGCGGTTTCGCAGGGTCCTGTCCGTCGTTTTCCTTGTTGAACAAAGCCACGAATTTATCCTTGATGGATCGGGCTGCGGCGCCTGACACCTGTTGTCCGATGATACTGCTGACGAGACTGCGGAAGGGGTCGATTTCCTCGGCTAGTCCCTCGGGGGAAAATAGATGGCACGGATGTCGCCTGATGAGCGGCTCCAGGCGCGCGTCCGTAGCGATTAGATGTGCCACGGCTTTCTCGAGGAGGGTACCGGTCGTAGCGGTTGGGCGGGGTCGACCGGTCTTGGAGGGGGAGAGACTCTCCGATCCGGGCGGGTAGGCGACGAGGGAGGAGCCATGGGGTGTTAAGAGAGTTGCGTTTGTCCTGTGCGGTTCGACAGGTCGGTCAAGGGGAGGGGGTGTGGTATGTAGTCTGCTAGGAGGGTCGGTAGATATGAGTTCGAAGATGTTATCTGTCTCCGCATTGCCGTTTGAGACGGATATGGTTCCGGTGTCTGGGAGAGTTACGTCGAGAGGAAGCTGTCCGAGACTGAGTTTCAAGTTTTTGATTTCTTTTCCAGACCGGCTTTTAGCTTTGTTGACCCTGCTGCTGGACTGAGGTCTGCTTGTTTTCTTTGGTGGACTAGGCGGTTGCGGTGGCAGCACTTTATTATTGAGCGCTGCAGTCAGGCGGGCCGAGCGCCGGAGAGTCATGATGAAGTCGAGACAACGACGGACACAGACAATAATAGTGTCTCGTTTTTGTTCCTTCTATTCCTATTGATGAGTTGATGCCTCTTCGATGGTCGCCTGCTGGGATGACGTGCATTCGGTGCTGAGTACATTCATCCAGACCCCGATTAAGTCATCCGCTCTGGGCGAGGCTCGTATCGAGTGGCTGTATCGAGGGTCAGGAACGGTTCATAGTCTTTTTGTACAGCTTGCTGTGGAGTTTTAAACACGATTGAAGTCTGCTTTCCATGGCACAATGCGCTCGCTTGAGGTATTGAGGGCTTCGTGATTGATTACCGCTCTTTCGCCTATGGCTACTCCACCATCATCCATTACATTATCTGGTAATGTTAAACCAGAGCTATCTACCTATTCAGGACAAAGGTATTACAGGATGTTTGACTGCATGCATCTTGTACGAACTATGAGCAACCTTGTAACAGCTGACTTACGAGTAAGCATAATTCAATCCCTTCTGGTACGTTTGCGCAAGCGAATTGCCTTTCCTTTACGGAGTACACAGAGAGCCTCTCAAGAGGCCAGGGCAACTGTGAACTAGCAGGGAACTTTTGCATACAACTTTTGCAAAGATCTTGACAATGGACCTCCAACGCTTCAGACAGATTCCATGGTCAGGGTCAGTGGGTGGACTGCCTAGATACAGTCCTCCACTTCATCTGTACCATTATGTACCCACAAAATTGCTTGTTCATGTGGACGACTGAATGTTGTGTCACTGTCCACGTAGCAACGAATTTGGATCCCACCTGTGGATAGGTGATCACCAACTACAGATTCAAGCTTTTCAAATCTACCTTTCAGGACCTGATTAGTTGGTGACCACTTTTGGGCCATTTTACGGGGAACTATCCAGCTCGTAGGCTGAAAAGACGTGGAAGCTTGCGTCATCAGCATCGTTAGTCTCTCTAAAAACGGGGACAAGATACAGAGCAATATCTACTGCTCCGGAAGCAATTAGAACTCATCTAAAAGCCTTCGGCCAGTACGTGGTCCGAATAGTACTGTGCTAAGAGGACATTTGTGAGTCCACAGACTTCGGAAGCACTCAAATAGGAAAACTGATCATCAGATGGGGAGAGTGATTATCAGAAGAAACATTAGGAGAATATATAATAACACCAACAGTTTTGAGCAGCGTTGTTATAAGTTTCAGATGTCCATAAGTTAAACAACCCTGGTATCAATCATCTGCTTGTCGGCTGATGAGAGCGACATCTGAAAGGGGTATCGACTCGTAAGGGCACAAGGGTCGATATTCAAGCAGATTTTTCCTTGAGTCAATGATCAAGCACTCGTATTGCAATTGCAGAATTTCGAATCTAGTGCAACAGAGACGTCGAAACATCTTTACTGATTTTAGATCAGATTGTCTTTGTTGATCGTTCTCGAAACCCATGAATTGTTGTGGCATTCCTATACCAACCTCCCCCATTCCGACCCCTGGACACCAGGAGCAAGAATAAAAGAGCCAGAGTAAAAGGAGGCATGTTCTCCGTACTTTAGGAGTCATTCAGGAGTACTCCGTACTCTGTAGCCTTATCAAGTTATCGTACATCCAGCCACCCGTGCTATGTGGCGTTCTGGGGAACGTGCCTAATGAATAATGGTCACCAAGGTTACACACAGTCGTACTGGTAACTTAGGTAGTACACAGCTACAGCAGGATGACGTTAAAGTAAATATTGAGCATCAGAGCAGAACAGTGTCTCAGCACTGATATCAAACACAGTCGAACTGCGAAACGAGGTCTGGTTGAAATTTCAAGCAGATCATAGTCAAAGTTCAGACCAAGTACTTGTCCATTATTGTGATATACAAGTAGCTACGGATATCAATGGGGGGTTGACTCCCAATGATAACTGACCCGTGTGGAGGAAAAAGAACTCTAATGGACACTTCGACAGTCATGAATCATGATATAAACATACAAGGCCAGACGAAGCGAGCTATCAACTAGAAGAGTTCCATTGACATTGATTGAATCGTATCATATAATTGGTTGGCTCCTTGCTCAATAGATCAGTGGGATAGTGGTCCATGATCCATTGAATCATTCAAACAAGGACTATCTATGATTACCTCAGTTATCCATGCTCATCGAGCCTTTCTTTTCGGACAGCCTTTTTTAAATTGACAGGCAAGTCAGTTGTAATCAACAAGGGTCTGCCACCAGTCCACTGATGAAGAATCAGGAGGAGAGTCTAGAATTTGAGGTAGATTGACTTGTCCATCCCTATCAGTATCATATATTTTTAGCTCTATAATTTTGCCATGAAGGCACAGGATCACAATTGCAGGACTGTTTCATGGATCCGCTAACCTACTTAAGTGGGTCTAGCCAAGATATGAAGTCCTTTTCATGGTACTGGTAAGTTACAGAAGTATTCATTTGTTATGATCCTGCCTACCTGGGTTGGGACAATAGTACTCTTATCCAACGCCTGTACTCCGTATAAGAATGCCATGGTAATTATCAGATAGTCCGTATTAGAGCTTTAATCATTTCCAGGCCCTGCGAATGTGTACAGTGTACGGAGTACTAGGTAGTAGTTGTGTACTCCGTACTCAGTTAGCTACGCACGCAGAGCTTGCCAAAGAGAGGAATAAGCAATATCGGGCCGCACGCATATTCGCCACTTAATTAGTTTTTAGTCTGATCCTCTCTATTGAGGATTTGAGGTCGTCCGACTCGCCTAGTGCAATGGCCCTTTGACTACATATCTACTTCCTTGTGCCTGGCCTAGTGGCATAATGATGATGAAAACGTACTCAGAGCTTCTATATAGCGTTGACGAGACGATCGCGGGAGATAGGAAAAGTCCATAGACAGTTAGTCTACATAGTAGAAAGACGCACTAATACTATGGAGTAGATAGTTAGAGTAATAAATTATTGTACTCCGTACCCTATTTTTAACGTTCAATAGAGGTCATTTGCATGGCAGAAAAAGGCGAGGATTGACAATAGATCAATCTAGCTTGCAAACGGAGCAATGGATTCCTGAGTCCTGGCCTCCTTGAGGCTTTTGATATTCTCACATTCCATAGCCCAGCTGATGACACTCATGGCAGGAGAGCGGGTCCATTGATTCGAGAATTTCAGATCGTTCTGAATCACTAAGTAGGTGAGAAGTGGTATCCATTATTTACTTTCGTACTGCTGCCGAGCTTGTTGTC